CAACTATAATATTATAAAATACAACCAAAAACTAAAAAGTAAAGAATCAGGTGAATGAAATAAGATTTTTTTGAATGCAATTTATATAATCTTGTGCATTAATGATAAGCAATATTTTGAATATTTTAAACATATTTAAACAATATTTTAAACAATGTTTCATTTTTAAATTTTTTAGTGTAATTTTTTGTTATTTAGCAATTCTGAAATTTGTTTCAATGTATTTCTATATTTTATTTCAATAGCTCATTCTATAGACCTAATATTCCTAGTCCTACTTTAAGACTATCAGTTGTAAAATTAGCAGGAGAGGAGTAAAAAATATTTAACAATTTGTATACAGCGGGCATGAAGCAATTAAAACTTCCACTTCTCAACATCTAACCCCACAGTGACCATTGCAGGGTGAAGAAAATGGCAGTCTAATTACATTTGACAAGAGATTGCTCCTAAGCATTTCATTTATTTGTTAATTTGATACTGAAGATTGAACTCAGAGGTGCTTTACCACTGAGCCATCTCCTTGGCCCTTTTGTTTTTCATTTTCAGACAAGGACTCACTATGTCACTTAAGGTCTTGCTAAGCTCAACCTTGTGATCCTCCTGCCTCGGTATCCCATGTCATTGGGAACACATTTGTGCAACACTGTGCCTAGCCAGCATTTAAAATAAAGTAAAAGATGGATAGAGAGAAAGGATGGGAGAGGAGGGGAGAAGTAGGGGGGATAGGAAGGGCAGCAGAATAGAATAGACATTATGATTGATGTATGTACATTTCATGTATGTATTATATGTCAAAATACATTCTACTGTCATGTATGACTAAAAAAAATAAAAATAAAATAAAGATGTTATGTCCACCGAAAAACTGAAAAATAAATATTAAAAACATTTAAAAAATAAAGTAAAAGAAACAAAATCTATGCCTTTGAGGTGAAGTTACCATTTTAACAAAAACACCTGAAAGAAATTATTTTCAAAAGACTTAAGCTATGGTGGAAGAATTTGAAAAATGAATGTTTGAAAAATTACCCACTGAAATATGATTTGTTTGCCAAAACTGTTTGTTATGTAAAAAACAAAACAAACTTTTAATGTGAACACTAGCAACTACAATGTTAACTGAATTGGTAGAAATAACTAGGAAATAATTATCAAAATCAAGTAAACTTAACTAAAACTTTTTTTCCCCTATTATGGGACCATTAATGGTTTGAAATTGAAAGTTAAAATCAGTGTTACTTTTTTTTTTTTTAAAGTATAGTGATTTTTTTTTAGAGAGAGAGAGAGAGAGAGAGAGAGAGAGAGAGAATTTTAATATTTATTAATTCTTTTTTTTAGTTCTCCGTGGACACAACATCTTTGTTTTGTATGTGGTGCTGAGGATCGAACCCGGGCCAGGCGAGCGCGCTACCGCTTGAGCCACATCCCCAGCCCCTAAAATCAGTGTTACTTAATAATAAACATTCCTGATAAATAAGCCTATAAATTTCTTGCAAAAATAAAAGACACTGAGTATAGACTACTTATTATATACAAATTATATATATTGGCTACTTATTATATACAAAACTAAATTATTTCCTTTATAGAATGTACTTTGTTTGAAAGTTGGTACAATCTCTTTTCTTTTATTTCTGTAAGCATATTGGGCTGCCGTCACTTTCTAGGCACATGAACATTTCAAGTCTAGTGATAAGTGCTTTTCGGTCCATGCTTAGAATAGAATAACTTTATGACATGGTATTGGCATTATTATTTTACAACTGAAGTATATTAGGTGATTCTCTTAATCATACAATAATTAGATCGTGCTAACTGTGAACCCTACACTCTGGGCTCAGTCTCTGTGCTTAACCACAACTCCATACTGCTAGGGTAAAAGCATTTAACACTTTAAGTCACATAGAATTGCTCTTTATTGATATATTTTAGTAAACAAATGAAGGACTATCTAAAAATTCTTAAAGATTTTCTCATTAAATTAAATTCATTGTCAATTTCTTTGGAAAAAAATATTACTGCTTCACGTGATCATTATATTCTCATGACAACTGTGATTGTTCCTGTTACTTAAATGTAAAAAATTAAAATGAAAAGTTGGACAATAATGAAAATCAGTTATTCAGGATCTTCCTGAACTACCACAGAAAGAACAAAACACTAAACAGTGTTTTAAAACTGATGGAGGCTGGAAATTATTTTGGTGGAGGAGGCAGGGTATAAACAACAGGCAGGTCCAGAAAAAAAAGGGAAAGACATAGATCAGCAGCCTTTCCTATCTCAAAAGAGAAAGGAAACTGAAATTCACATTGGGAAAATAAAAAATGAAAGTGAAAGATATTAGAAGAAACCAGACAGAGGAAAATACCCAAAGAAAAGGCAGAAAATAAACTAAATCACCATGCAAAAATATACATGAAGAAAAAAGATTCTTTTTGAGAGACAGGGGCTTGGTTTTTGTTTCTTCAACCTTTCTCCATAAGCGGCCCTATCAAAATAATGGCAGATTCCTGAAAGAGAGATTCCTTTCTATTTCCTTTACTGTTCCTAACACACTCAGTCCACATCACTCAATCCTTATTCAACAACTTCAACTGAGAATGACTATGGATTATTGTTGGTATTATCATGTGATGTTGATAATGACAGGTAAGCAAAGACAGTTATACATGGAAAACCAGACAGAAAAACTGTAGTGTGTATTTTCATCTAGCTCTTAACCATAGTCCTCATAGCATTTATCCTTATCTGACACATTGGATATTTGTTGGTTGCTATTAATTATCTGTCTTTCCACTCCCATTTAGTATGTGGGTTCTATAAAAATAGAAACTTTTAAATATATTATTATTTATTTATTTATTTTGTATTTTTCATTTTATTAACTGCATTTAGAACAGAGCTGATCATAAAGTATTAGTAAATATTTCTTGAGCAAGTGAATGAATGATATAATTTGAATAACAAACACTTAAGCATTTAATTTTGACCCTTTCTCCACCAGGACAACAATTTGCTGGTTAAGAAAATGACACTATCTGTTTCCCCATAGAAAATAACCAATCCCTTCTCTTTCTCCAGTGTTTAGAACCAAAATATAGAAGGATAGGTGCCAGGGAACAGAATGGCTTTTGGTTGATTGGTCAATTTGTGCTTCAACATATTGAATTAAACCCACAGGTAGCTGGCAGGGGTGGGGAGGCATTGGGAGATACATTTTTGCAATAGCCCAAAATGAGATCTTTGTAGACCTAATAACTAAAATTAGTAAGCTGAATACTTCTGTAGAAACATCAAATTTGATTCTCTTTTATCTAATTACAAAGTCAACTCCCCAAACAAGAAATAATAGAAAATAAAGAAATAGAAAATAAAGAACTCCACAGGGCCAAAGTTCCATTCACTTCAATAATTCTGTGTGCTAGACATCAGGCCAGCTATTAGCTAACTCAATATTCCCATTCAGAGGTGAAATCATCAAGGGCCTCCTATTCATATAGCATTTTACTGGCCACTATACATATGTCCCTTCTTCCATGAGCTTACAGTTCTTTGAAAGAGAATCTTAGTCATATACTATAATTCTAGAATAAAATAAGACAATATGCTGTAAATTGCTTATTTGTGTATTGTGTATGCCTCAGTAAATAAACCTAAAGACTCTGAAATTCCCAAGGTCCAAAGAACCACCAGGCTTCAGTGTACTATCCACATGTCACTGAATATGCTTTGCTAACATTAATTTTCCTAAATATATCTTTGATGGCCTAAATGACTCCTCCATCTACCATGTAATTCCAAACCATGAAGTTATAATCATATACTACTACAACCACAGTTGCCCAGGGCTGCAGAATGCCTTCTAGTAAGCCGCAACCTGAAGCACTTGTGTTTTTGTGGCTTCTGTACTGAAATGAAGCTGCCATTTTTCAGTGTGAATGTCTTTTTTTTTCTCTCATGACATAGACAAATGTTGATGTTTACTACAAGTTGGTACATTAGTTGCTAATTAAGTTCCTAGTTGCTTCAGCCAAAACTTGCTGTATCGAATCCAAGAAAAGAATGGCAGCTATATCAAAAATAAGTTGTTGGGGATTTTGTTTTGTTTTGTTTTGTTTTATTAAAAGAAAGTTATCTATTAAAGAATATGGAGGAACTCACATGCTGGGAAATAGGAAAACTTCAGTCTTGGCTTCCTCCTGAACTGAGTTAGTGGTTAAAGTACTTCTGCATCTGTCATCAGGCCCTGGTCAAGGATATATAAATACTAGCAATCTAGGCCTGAGGAAATCAGGCTATAACTGTTTATTATTACTTATTTTTTTTTTCCCATACTCACACCCAAATTCTTGGCGGAACAAATTAGTTCTTGGGAGTCCAGAGGTCAGGTTTATTTTAGGAAGGGTGCAAAGGTAACTTCCTTCTGGGGTTCTGGGGTTCCTGGATTTTGGGACCGTGTTTTTCTTAGCTTCATCTCCTGGCTAGTCCCTTGCAATTTCACCCTCTGGCTGGATCAGACTTAAGTGCCTTCACTAGCAAAGGGTAATTCCTTTCTGCTCACATCAGGGTCTGGGGCAGTCTCTCTTCATTTTCCACATGGGAAGTCCCAAATCTCACACTTTTCTGCTCTCTACATTTTAGCTGACAAAGGATCTAATTGTTGAGGCAGAACCCTGCTGAGAAGCCAAAACACAGGCCCCGGGGAAGTTTGCCATTGCTTTGCTGTTTTAATGGATCCAAGAAAATTCGCTCTCCTTTGCTATTTCCCATAGTGACCTCTACCGAAGCCGTCTCCTAACCCGCAGCGACCAAAGGGTGGCTCCTCCCGGGAAACACACTGCCGGCCCTGGGGCCCTGGAGATTACGTATGAAAAGTCTTTCGAGAAGAGAATCGAAACAGAAACCAGTCCAGCTAACCACAACAACTGCCTGGTGGAAAACAGGACTCAGCGAAGGTATAAGTGTCGCCCTGCCAGAGCCAAAGCAACCCGCCTGTCAGTCGGAACCTGCCGCGTCCGCGACCCGGACACCGCGCGCGCTGCCCACCTGCCTGCCCACCTGCTCAGGCGCCACCGCTCTCTCCTGCCCCGGCCCCGGGTCCCGCAGGCCACCGTGTCGTTGGGCACAGCGTAGAAGACCCTGCCACCTCAAAGCAGCTGACAGCGATACAAACACTCAACTGTGGACCGTCTAGTTGGGAGAATCCTCTCCCTCTCTGAGAAAGAAAGATGTCGAATGGGTTCTCTGCAGACAAGAACTTTCGCTATCTCATCTCTTGCTTCAGGGTCAGATTGAAAAGTTACATCCAGGTAGAGCCTGTCCTGGACTACTTGACCTTTCTGACTAATGAAGTGAAGGAGCAGATTCGCAGGACCGTGGCCACTTCTGGTAACATGCGCGCAGTTGAATTGCTCCTGAACACCTTGGAGAAGGAAGTCTGGTCCCCTGGCTGGACTCGGGAATTTGTGGTGGCCCTCCAGAGAACCGGCAACACCTTAGCGGCCCGTTATGTGAACCCGGATCTCACAGACTTGCCCTCCCCATCTTTTGAGAAGGCTCATGATGAATGTCTCCAACTGCTGAACCTCCTTCAGCCCACTCTGGTGGACAAGCTTCTGGTTAAAGATGTCTTGGATAAATGCATGGAGAAGGAACTGTTGACACTTGAAGACAGAAATCGGGTAGGTGTCAGTTCAGAGGGAGCTGGGCTTTAAGAAAGATTTTTGCGAAGTGGGGATTGCAAATTTTTTTTTTTTAACTTCTGTGGGCAAATCTCGTTCCCTCCTTCTTTAAAAAGAGACGATGTGGGCGCTGGAAAACATAATTTTGAAATTTTAAACACAAAAGAATTAACTTTCTTATCTTTTCACTGAAATAAACTAAAGAACTAACATTAAAGCAGGAATTTGTATTGATAAATACTGTTAATTGAACACTTACTATGTACAATTATAGTAATTTTATATTTGAAATAACCCATGAAGAGTTGTAATAGAATTGTTTCTTTTTTACAGAAGAGAAAACTGAGGTAAGTTAATTTGCTCAACTTCTTCCAGGAAGAGCAGTGCAGAGCTAGATTCATCAAATCCTGATAGTACTGAATTTTAGTTCTTATTTAATGTGGTTACATGGAACAGAGGCAAGCAAACCATAGCCCCAAATCTGAATCCAGTCTGCTACTCATATTTGCAGGCCCAGAAGCTAAGAATGGTCTTTGGGTTTTTGAATTTTTTTTTTTTATTTTCTGTGTTTATAAAGTTTTATTAGAACACAGTTGTGCTCATTTGTTTACATATGTTTTATGACTGCTTTTCACAGTTGAACAGAGACCATATGGCCTGTAAAGTCTAAAATATTTATTATCTGCCCCTTTAGAGTAAAAGCTTTCCAATCTCTGCCCTATATTATTTATTATACCATTTAATCTTGGTTCAAATGAGGAAATTATATAACACACACACACACACACACACACACACTTTTTTTTTTTCTTTGTTTAACTGAAGTTTCCATGTTCTTTGGAATAAAAATTTGGAGATAATTCACTTGAAGAAATATGTTGCCAGTTGTAGCTTTTCATATTAGGAAAGGAATAGCAGATTTTCATAAAGGTAGCATTTTGATAAGATGAATTTGACAGGTGATGTTACAAAACTTAATGTAATGTTCATTGTTTTTCAATGAATGAAAATATACTATGAAGTATACAAATACTGGCCTACTTGAATGCTGAATTTGTATACTTGAAGTATACAAATGCTGCCTTATTCATGGTTGTAAGTCAAAAGTGTATTTTAAAAGCTTTGTAGATAAATCACCACAAGTCAAGGGTTTTTGTCTATACTATGTTATTATTTTGACATTTTCCTTTTTCTGTTTGATTCATTAATTATGTGTATCTTCTTTACAATGTTCTGGGTATCAGATTAGTTGGCTTTAGCCTGTATTATGAGTTGGTCTTTAATAACTAAAGTTAATGGTCCTTCATAGACTCAACAGCTACAGGGCCTATCCAAAGACTCAACATGCGTTGAATTGTGATGGCCAGTTTTCCCAACAAAGTAAATTACTTTACACTGTTGTCTGTAGCGTTTATGTCATTTTGTGTATTGAGCACCAACTAGAACGCATTATAGTAGTCCAGCTGGATATGACAAATGTGTACATCACTGTGGCAGAATCTTAATTTGGAAGAAAGTATGCAGCCTTCAAGCCAGCTGGAGATGGAAGATGGCATTTCCAGCCACAGTAGCTGTTAGGAAGTCCAGAAGCAACAGAGTCCAGTAACACCACAAAGCTGTTTATGTTTGGTGGGTATGATGTCCCGATTGCCAGTGAAACAGCACTTCTTCTTATTTACTCTAAATACTTCTGCCTATCAGCATCACTTTTGTCTTGCCTGGATTGAATTTCCGCCAGCTACATTTTATCCAAGTTCTTGATTCTGGCAAGCTTGGAGGCAGCTAGCAGTATTGCAAGGGATTTGACACAAAGAAGACTGGGAGTAAAGGGACTTTTGTGTAATGATGGCAGTTGAGGCCAAAGCAGCCCAAACTTTGCCTCAGATTCACATTTCAAAGGAGACTGGAAAGAATGAGGAGCTATTTATTTGAGACTAGGAGTAATAGGGACTCTGTGAGAGACTAATAATTGTGTGTGTGTGTGTGTGTGTGTGTGTGTACATTATCATTTCCAAAATTAAGCTATGGAAACAAGGAGAAGGAAACATTATACTTGGAAGAATCTCTAGTGATGTGGAAATCATCCATGATGTTTATCCAATAGCAGAAAGTATGATGGGACAGTCATGAGAGTTTATAATGGGAAGATGTGGATTTGGGGCTATATTTGCTTTTTACTACATAGACAACTTTGGGAAGTTATTTAAGTTTTCTAATCCTAAATTGATCCAATGACAACGAACATTGTATCTTTTCTTTTTTCATAGTGTTTTAGTCAACATCAAATGAAAAATAGTATTTAGGAAAGAACTTACTATTTTGATATAATTATATTGATTTTATTAACACTCATCTGGTTACATTTCCATATAAAGTTTAAGCTTCAGGGATTTAGGTAAATCTCATGTTGAAATTGATATCTGCTTCTAAAAGTCCCTAGATTAAACTGACTTGAAGGGGAAAATACATCTTTCATTTCCCAAAACCTAGCCAGGACTAGGTATAGGGTTAGTACTTAATAAATACTGATTACTTGATTAATTGCTTGAATTCATTTCCAAAAAATTCTCTGGAATGAGTTGAAAACACACGATGTGTTAGATTGCCTTGTCAGGCATTGGAGAATGAATGGGTGATGTGCATTAGATTTCTAAATGTAGTTTTTGACAGTTTAGAAAAAGATACCAAAAGTTAAGCTCAGCTTAACTAAGTAATCAGGACTTCTAAAAATTGATCTTTTATTTTTATTCTTTACTTGTGTTCCAGTAGACATTTCCTACTTGGACTGTGATTTTAGTTTAGGATTCCTACCTCCATATGCCAGCCCCTTCCCCCAATTAAAGCAGGGATTCTGAAAACGATCTGTGACTTAGTTTTGTGTCCAATAAGTACCCAACAAACCTATTTAGTTTATTGATTTATTCATTCATTTATTGAATTTGTTGAGTGGCATATTTGTGCCAGACAACAAGCTAGTGGGAAAGATAAAGAGAAAACCAGAGACAATGGTTGTGCTAACCTGGAGTTCAAGTTGCAATGTTAGAGTTCATCCTTCCTACCAATAGCTAAGGAACACCTACTGTACTCAAGGCACTATCCTAAATGCTGGAGACACAGCAGTAAACACTAGTTCTTTTACAGATCATTACAACTGAACCATCCCTGTAAGGGAGTGTCCCTGTACTGCCCTGCTTCTTTTAGGGTGCATTGTGACAACTTGGCATACCCATTGATTTAGACAGCTGTGGACTCTGTAACAGAAGTGATCATCTAAACATTTCCACAGAATCTTAATGTAAATCTGAACAACCCAAGAGAGGTACATGTTTCAACCCTGCTCAAAAGAATTTGACACATGTAGTCTTCGTCACTCCATACACCTTTTGTTTATTTGGGAAAAACAGAAGTACTAAGACTAGTCCAGCTAGAAGCTAAGTCCTATTTTCCTCAAATGAAATGAGTGTCTCAGTCAGTTTTCTCCTCATTTATTGTATTGTCAAGCAAATTAGGAAAAACAAGAGGAAAAAAAGAAATATGAATAAACTTAGCTGTCAGTTTGATATTAAACACTTATGTGATTAAAACATGAACAAATTATATGCTTTAACATAATTTTGCTTCCTAATTTACTGTTATCTAATAGTTTAACTCTACTGGATTAAAAAAAACCATTATATTTAAATAGAAATCTGAGATTATTATACAAGAAGAAAAAACATGTTTCATCAACTGTACATCATGTGGGCAAGCCAGTGCTTAATGAAAATATCTTTGGCTTTTTCACTACTTTCTTTTGGAAAGAAAAACAAAAACTAACAGAAAATTTAGAAGTTGCTTTACCCACAAATTTTACCATATTTATTTGTTTTATATTGGTGCATTACAATGATACAGAATAGTGGGATTCATTTTGACATATTCATATGGGCACATAGTATAATTTGATTAATTTCATACCCAATATCCCCTTCACCTCCCATCCTCCTTCCCCCTGATCCTCTTCCTCTACTCTATTGGCCTCTCTGCTGATTCCATGAGTTCTTTTTTAAATTTATTTTTTCCTCTCTAGCTTCAACATGTGAGAACATGACCCTTAACTTTATGTTTCTGGTTTATTTCAGTCACCATGATGCTTTCCAATTCCATCTTTTTTACTGTAAATGACAATTATGTTCTTCTTTATAGCTGAGGGAAACTACTCCATTGAAATTCACCTATATTTTATGTTCCATAAATTAGTTAGCAATGTTGCCATGGACATTGTTAAATTCATAGAGAAAACTTCCAGTAGGGGAGGGAATCATTCTATATCAATCTCAAGTTTAAATATTCCCCTTCTAGAAATTTCTGTTATTGTGTTTATATATTGGGGTCTAACATCTTTATAATATTATAGGAGAATAGATTAAGAAAAATGTGTGTGCATGTGTGTGTGTGTGTGTGTGTATGTGTGTGTGTGTGTGTGTGTGTAAAATTATTTCAAAGGGAACTGATGTACTTTCCAGCACCCAAATGGGGATGATTTCTTAAAAATTCAGAATCTTGATGAAGCTACTAAAATTACACAGATGTTATATATATTTCTGCATTCAAATAGTACAAATAAATGTAGAAAACAAAAGCATTATAATATGCAAATGCCTGGGATCAATAAAGGCAAAGAAAATGTGACATATGTGTTTCCAGAGTAAAAATCTACTTAACAGATTGATAGTCAAAGAAAATTTAGTGAGTAGAAAATGCTTAGATTCTTAATAAAAGTATTCATTACAGTGCCCATTAATTCTTTTTAGAGAAATACTTTCTTATTACTTACTTCAAGTATATTTAAAGCTGATTAAAAATGGGATAATAAAAATGGAAATGATTGAAGCCAGACATGGTGGTGCACTCCTGTAATCCAGCTATTCAGGAGGCTGAAGCAGCAATATTGTAAGTTAAAGGCCAGCCTCAGCAACCTAGCAAAACCCTGTCTCAAAATAAAAAGTAAAGGGCTGGGGTTGAGGCTCAGTGGTAGAGCACTCACCTAGCACTTGCAAAGCCCTGGGTTCAATCCTTAGCAGCTCATAAAAATAAATAAATAAAATAAAGATATTGACAACTACAACTAAAAAATAAATATTAAAAAATAATAAAATAAAAAGTAAAAATTCTGGAGATGTAACTCAGTGATAAAGTACCCCCTAAGTTCAATGTTTAGTCCTAGTATCAGGAAAAAAAAAAAAGGAAGGGTTGAGTTAAAATGAGGTGCTGAAACCAGTGTAATTTGTGTCAATAGCAATTACTTTTCCAATTAGTAGGAAATAATAAAACTCTTACAAATACCAGAGAAGTCAAAAAATTTCCATTAGGAGATTAATGAAGTTAGAGAAAAAGTAGGAAATGAGCAAGAAATTGCTTAGACAATGGTTTGTGAGAGATGGCCTGAAATCACTTAAAATTTCATAAGTTTAATTTTTAAGTGCAAATAATCACTTTTTGACAAAAAATAAAATTGAAGAAAATTTTTAGCTATGATTATAGCTCAAGAAGTCAGGTTTTAGCCTCTACAGTCAATTACCTGTATGAAATTCTACCTCTGCCATTTACTAGATTTTTGACCTTGGAGAGAGAGCCAAACATCTTTGTGCCTCTTGGCCTTCTGATCTATGAAAGGGGTTTATGTTGGTACTTACTTCAGGGTTGCTAGCTTAATATATGAAAAGCCCTAGAACAGTGTAATTACCTATTAGCTAATAGGACTAAAATGACCTTTGAGTAGAGGTCATGTAGAACAATTTTTTTAATACTAAGTAGTGTCTGCTAGTGAAATGTTTGTAAAAGACCAGGCATGGTGGCCCATGCCTGTAATCCCAGTGGCTTGGAAGGCGGAGACAGGAGCCTGATCATGAGTTCAAAGCCAGGGCTGGGGATATGGCTCAGTGGTTGAGTGCCCCTGAGTTCAATTCCTGGTAGAAAGAAAGGAATTAAGGAAGGAAGGAAGGGAGGGAAGGAGGAAAGAAGAAAGAAAGAAATGTTTATAAAAGTAAATACTTTCCTAGGTCATCCATAATAATAGATAATACTAAATTTGTAGAAAACATTATTTGAAAAAAGGTTAACAAATCCTTGACATTAAAAGGTCTTGGAATATATTTAAAGGACTAGAAAACACATTTTGTAAGAACAAACTAGTCTAAACAGCCGAAATTATAGATATAGAAGATTCATAGATATTGAGAAAGAACCTTGAGAATATCTATATCAGTGTTTCTCAATTAGGAGGCTGGTAAAAATCACATGAGATGCTTAAAAAAATGTTTGAAAAATGTTCTGTGTCCCCAACATAGACAAAATAAACCAGAATCCTTTGGGACAGATGCTAAACATTAGTATTTTTTAAAGTCTCCACAGGTGTTTCTTATGTGCAATCAGGATGGAGTAACACTCGAATCTCCATGGTGGCCTCAGTTTCCACATGTGGAAATGGAAGCTTAGGGAGATGAAGTAGCTTCCTTGATGCCACAGAAAGCTAATGATGGCGTCATTTCTTTCCCATCTAACATGATTTGTGTTAGTCTTTTCTCCAAATGTCAGTTACTCTATTAGAACCTATTTTAGGAAGATGCATTGTGATAATAATTATACAAATGATCCACATTACAAAAAGATTCACTAGGTTAAGCCCTGCAGCTCGAGAGTCTGAAACAAGAGGATCGTGAGTTCAAAGCCTCAACAAAAGCGAGACACTAAGCAACTCAGTGAACCTCTAAATAAAAAATACAAAATAGTGCTGGGGATGTGGCTCAGTGGTCAAGTGCCACTGAGTTCAATCCCGGGTACCCAAAATAAATAAATAAATGGGAAAGAAAATGAAGACTAAATATTACAATGACTGGATATGAAATAAGTCTACTTCATACTTTACAAAAGGAATAGATATAGAAAAAAATGTCATAATATTAAATAAACAAAATTTTGGAAAATTTTATTATAGTAATTATAAATAATGCAAATATTAAATAAACAAAAATATGAATCTGTGGTTGTAATTACTTATTTCCATGGTAGTAATAGTGAAGAAAGAGAAGTTGGATAAAAAATATTTTATTTCCCATTTACAAATTTCTTCTGTTGAACGGAAATAGCAAGCCATAGATATATAGAAAGAAATTGGTAAAATATGGTTATTGATGAAAGATGCTTTCTTATGTTCTTCTTATTCAGAATGAGGTAAAACATGTATTTCTAAGCATCAGGTTTGGACATCAAAATGGCTTAAAAATTACATGTTTCAAAGGGTGTTTGATTCAGAGATATTTTTCCTGGTAGACTCCAAAATTGCTGCATGTAGCATTGCTGTTTTCCTTAGAATCTGAATATAAATTTTTTAAAAATACTTACACTTAATTGCTCAGTTTTCCTAACAGATATTTCCTGTTTAAATTTATTGATATGTTGAATTTATTTCTACTTTTCTCTTAACAGATTACTGCTGCAGAAAATAATGCAAATGAATCAGGTGTAAGAGAGTTGCTCAGCAGGATTGTGCAGAAAGAAAACTGGTTTTCTACATTTCTGAACATTCTTCGAGAAACAGGAAATAACAGACTTGCCCAGGAGTTAACAGGTGTTGCTTGCTCAGAAAGCAATGCAGGTATTTCTTATTTTACTAGGGATGATTTTCCACATTTTGCCCAATAATTGAAAGTTTAATGAAACCTATAGACATATTGCCAAACACCAAGATTTTTTTTTTTAAATAGCAGTTTTCAAATGGGAAGGGATTTGGTAGATTATTTATTATACAAACAAAGAAATTAGTGCCTGAGAAAAAAATTAAATTATCAGAGCCCGCAGAATTCATCAAGCTGGACTAGAATATTGGTGGTTGACTCAAAGTCCAACCAACATTCCACTATTAGTCTTATTTTGAAAGCATGAGAATGACTTGGAATTTTTAACAAGGTACTTTTCGCATTAAAAAGATGCAAATAAATTGTGCAAAATTATTTTAGTGGTTATTAAAACTCTGCTGCATACACTTCTGAATATTTTCATAAATTTTAAGTAGTTTGAAAATTTGATGACGGGTTTGTAATTACAACACATCTCAACTTCATGTAATATAAATTTTAAAAAATAGTTAATAACAATTTTTGTAGCCCTTTTACATACATTATTTTATATCTAATTAAAACTTCCAACTTATTTTTCTTTCCTTAATATATTCTCTATGCTTTCAAAAATATCATTTATAAAACAAGTTAAAAGTTAATTGCCAACAAATTAATAATCATTGCATGCTGACTTCACCTCTTTTCTTCACTCATTCACTCATTCATTCATTCAGTGAACATGTAGTGAGTGCCAGATGTGGTGGGCTGTTCCTGGTGCTGAGGATATGGGGTTAAATGACATGTAAAGTCCTTCTTCCCATACACCATAATTTTTAGTGGAACAAGGTACAGAGTAGGCAATTTTCTGAAGTACATATGCAAAACAAAAACAGATAAATATGAGTGATAAAGTAAAATTGCTAAATTATTAAAGAAACAGCATGTTATGTTTTATATTATTTTATGAAATAGCTTTATTTTTGCCTGGCAATTTAAAATATATAACTATATAAAACTATTCGTTTCACTCTTTAAAAGTGGTCAATCTAGGACGGGTATGGTGGTGCACACCTGTAATTCAAACAGCTTGGGAGGCTAAGGCAGGAGGATCACAAGTTCAAACCAGTCTCAGCAACTCAGCAGCAACTTAGTGAGGACCTAAGCAACTTAGCAAGGTGCTGTCTCAAAATAAAACATAAAAAGGGCCGGGGCTGTACCTCAGTGGTGAAGCATCCTTGAGTTCAATCCCTGGTGCCAAAAATAAATAAATAAAAGTGGTCAAACCAGCTTTCAAAAATCAGACTTTCAAAAGTCCCATGGTCTGTTTGTCAGCAACTTCCAGGGGTTCTACTGTCATTACTTCTATGAAGTATGTATCTGTACCAGTATCTATATATATGTGTAGAGAGAGAAACAGACAGACAGACAGACACACATACACATACACTCAGAGTGAGACAGACAATGGGATAAAAATGGAGCAATAGACAGAGTCAACTTTCTTTACCATGGGGTGTTTACAAGCTCTAAAGAATTATGAAGTGGCATTAGTACAGCATCACATCTTTAAGACGAACTTAAAGTTCAAAAGGCCTTGAAACTGTTCTTTCTCTGAAATTATTTAAAAATTTGGGGGATTATTCAAGAATGATCAATTAGATAAGCAATTCCATGATGCATTCACCAGCAAGTTCCATGATTTCTGTTTAGACCACAAAATTATGACTATATATTAAAAGTCCTTCAGAATAAGAAGCATCTTTATCTTGCTTTGATTCTCTGGTGGGGCCTCAATGATGCCACTTACTTATAATATCAAGATCACATTTTCTTTTAGGTATTTATTATTTTCCAGGAATTTTTTCACACTATAATTCTAAGGCCTATTTGCTAAGTGAAGGGACTTCTAGCCAAAACCATACACACACACACACACACACACACACACACACACACAATGATGGGCCAATTCCCTCTTATATACCTCAAGAATAAACCTGGGCTACTCCCTAGACCACCCCATCTCATGATGAGTACCTACTTAAGACCTCATGGGACCATCCATGATAAATCATTCCAGGACTTGACTTTCAGTGGAAAATGGCTACAGTCCAGTTTATTTTTTGTTTCCCAAGAAAATTTGGCCTCAGTATATCAAAAAATGTTAGAAAGGGAAGTTTTTCAGATCAGAAAGTCTCTGGTGAACCCTTCCCCTGTTAGAGGGTACCTGTTCATTGTATGCTCGGGTTCAGTGGTATAATTCTTTAGCAAATGGTCTATAAGTTCTGCTTTAAAGTATCTTCCAGATCTTTCTGACATAAATGTGTGTCTGGCAATAGTTCTTGCCAAGATAAGTTTTCAGTTCCACTTTACCAGGTGCCTAGTTGGAAGTTCATTGTAATATTTCAAATTATAATTTTTTAAACAATAGTCATCTAGTAGAGTATATTTAGAAAATCCTATGTAATGCCAGTATTCTAGCACATCTTATTACATATGCATTGTATTCACATGCCTCCGTTTTTACTTTTCTTATAATATGCCATAAATTTGTATTGTGATTAGGTCTCTGGTTGTCTTTAACAATGGCATTGGGACTAGTTTGTCCTGATTTTCCCAGACCAACCAATCATTATATGAAAGTGGGAAAGGCTCATGAAAAGAAATAAGTGTCTTCAATTATTCATCAGTCTCTCTTCTCTCCCTGGCCCCGTAGCAGTGTTCTCTCACAGTTGAGGCTTTCCCTCCTTTCAACCAAAGTGCGTAAGGATGGATGTTGACTCAGAAATGAGAAAAGTGGCAGAGTAGAAATGGTTCTAGGCTTCCTTTGAAGGCTAGATGGAAAACGCCCACCCCATCTGGGGCTCACTTCTACATACATTCAGAGTCACTCTGACCAACAATATTTTCATTGCCTCAAAACATCTAGTCGGGAGATTCAGGGATTTCAATATTATTTGCTGAACTCTGAACATTTTTCTAGCAAGCTTTGATAATTAGGACAAAGTTGTGATATTTTTCTTGTGGTGAAGAGCTACTATGAATTGAGTTGCCCCCTCCCCCATCCCGAAGAAAGCTTATAGCTCTCAATGTAACTGTATCTGGTGTATCTGGAGATTGGGTATTAAGAACTTGTTAAGGTTAAATGAGGTCATAAGGGTGAGGCCCTGATCTAATAAGGCTGTAGCCTTATAAGAAGAGGAAGAGGGAAAGAGATCACTCTCTCTCCATTGTGGGATGACACAGTGAGAAAACCACCATCTGTAACTCAAGAAAGAAAAACTTTGTAAGCACTGACTCTACTGGCATTAGGATCTTAGACTTCCAGTCTCCAAAATTGTGAGAAAATTTCTGATGTCTAAACCAATCCTCTACTCTATTTTGGTCTGGTGATCTCAAATAACTAATACAAATTTGGATACCCCAAAAGTTGGATGCTACTAAACAAAAAACACATTGAAGTGACTCTGGAACCAGGTAATGTATAGAAAGTGAAAGAATTTTGAGGTGAATGCCAGAAATATAGGTTTAAGGGTGATTCTGATGGGGTCTTAGGAGAAAATGTAGAAAATTAGAGACTGGAAGAAAGGTGATCCTTGTTATAAAATGGCAAAGAACTTGGTGGAAGAGTGTTCTAGTATTTTGTAGAAGGTGGACCTTGTGGGCAATGAAATTGGATATTTAGCTGATGAGATTTTTAAGCAAGATGTGGAAGGAGTGGTTCTGTTTCTCCTGACTGTTTGTAGTAAAATGATAAAAAAAAAAAAAAAAGATGAGTTAAAGAAATGAGATAGCAGAGGATAGGCAGTGGAGAGTAGAGAAAGGACAGTAAATGTCGACAAGACGCCAAGTATGAAGAGAGCCTTTTTAACATGCCCGAATGTGTTATAAGACAGTTCCTATTTCTCAGAAAAGGCAGATGTTTCCCTCTTGCCAAAAGTTCCTGCATAATCTATAATCTGACCCACGTCCACTGTGGGACAATTGGAATATCGAAAACTAATCAGGAGGAGCTTATCATCTAATTACATTCCTGTAAAAGAAGGAGCATGGTAAGATGTAAATGGCACTCTTGCCCCTCCCAGGCACACTGCACCAGGAGCCCTGAATCTTTCTCTCATTTTCCTTTTTAATAAAAGTCTTGCTCCATGTTTAACTTGGCCACGTTTGCCGTGTTCATTCTTCCATCCAGTGGAACACATATCCAACTCCTGCTGGTAACAGAAGGAATTAGTAACCAAGAAGGGACCAGAACTTGAAGATCTGGGAAATTCTTAGCCTCTTACAAAAACATATGGCAAAGTGTGTTGTGAAAAGAACATGAAGGTACAACTGAACAAACTCTTGGTAAATAGATTGTGGATGTGACTTGCACTTAATCAGCCATTTCAGCAGGACACAGACTCTGTCAATTTGAAATAAAGGGGAAAGAAAAGGCAGGCTGGGGGTGAAGAAAGACTGTCAGATTTCTTGGATTCTGCTGAGTTAGACCATAAACCTATTGGACTATGAACCTGTGCTTTAAGGAAAGGCAAGAATGACCCCAAAGCCATTTAGAGACCATGGGACTGCCACTCCCAAACATGTCAAGGAAGCAAAGCTGTTTCCTCCTTAGTTTCAATTAGTGCTACCTCTCTGATTTGGGGGAGGTGCCTCAGAAGTGGTACTCCCCTCACAGAGACCAGAAAGCTCACGGCTATCTGAAAGAGCAAAAGAAGCAAGGTTGCCCTGCCATCCCAGTGGGCCAAAAGCAGAATGTCAAACCAAAGAGAGTTCTTTTTTTTTTTTTTTTTTTTTTAATTTTTTTTTATTGGTTGTTAAAAACATTATAAAGCTCTTGACATATCATATTTCATACATTAGATTCAAGTTGGTTATGAACTCCCAATTTTACCCCAAATACAGATTGCAGAATCACATCAGTTACACACCCACGTTTTTACATATTGCCATACTAGTGACTGTTGCATTCTGCTACCTTTCCTATCCTCTACCATCCCCCCTCCCTCCCCTCCCATCTTCTCTCTCTACCCATCGGATACAAAGGCACATCAAAAAAATTGTGCACCATGATCAAGTAGGATTCATCCCTGGGATGCAAGGATGGTTCAATATAAGGAAATCAATAAATGTTATTCACCACATCAATAGACTTAAAAATAAGAACCATATGATCATCTCAATAGACGCAGAAAAAGCATTCGACAAAGTACAGCATCCCTTTATGTTCAAAACATTAGAAAAAATAGGGATAACAGGAACTTACCTCGACATTGTAAAAACTATCTATGCTAAGCCTCAGGCTAGCATCATTCTCAATGGAGAAAAATTGAAGGCATTCCCCCTAAAATCTGGAACAAGACAGGGATGCCCTCTATCACCACTTCTATTCAATATTGTTCTCCAAAGAGAGTTCTTGAGCTGTAAGATCTGAAGGAATTTACCTTGCTAGATTCTGGACTTTGTTTAGCTCAAATCACCTTTTCCTTCTTTTCTGTTTCTTCCTTTTGGGGATGGAATGTTGATCTTCTGTTCATTCCACCATTGTATTTCAAAAATCCCCTAATTTGTCTGGTTTCATAGACTCATAGCTGGAAGAGAATTTGCCTCTCAATGAATCACACCTAGCACCTTATCCAAATCTGAATTAGATAACATGTGGACTTTTGACTTTACATTTGATTCCAGAATGAGTTGAGACATTGGGGGTTCTTGAGATGAAATGAATGTATTTTCCATGCAACAACAAGAATATGAGTGGGGTAGGGAGTAATGAAATGCTGTGGGAGAAATTATATCTCGTCAATCCATAGGTTAGAGCCCTAACCCCTATTATGACTGTATCTGGAGATGATGTCTTTAGGAGGTCATGAAGGAGAGGCCCTAATCCGATGTGATTGTGGCCTTCTAAGAAGAAGGAGAAAGAAAAGTGTATCTCTCTCTTCCCAAGTGATGACACTGAGAAGGTGGTGGGTGGGTGTACTCTAAGAAGAGGGCTGGCAGTAGACGTCAGCCATGTTGGCACTAGGGTCATGTTTGGCCCAAGTCTAGAAGTGAGAGATGAAATCTCGGTTGTTGCAATTACCTGTTGATGGCATGTTGTAACAGCCCAAGCAGGCTGATGCAGAAGCCCAAGCTCTGTATTCTTAACATTTAATGCCTCCTGGTTTCTTTCCTGAATGTGCGATCTTTAGTTACACTCTTCACCTCCCTGATCCTCACTTTACTCCTCTATAAAGTGGGAATATTATTTAACATCTAGGTTTATTTAAAGGGTTAATTTATTTAATATATGTAATTATCTAATATATATTAAGCACAGAATAAATTGACTATTTTAGCTATAAGCCCCAAACATGTTCAACAGCTAGATGTAAATATGAGCAGAATGTCAAGTTGGCTACTTGTCCGAAGTCACAACCCCTTCTTCAAGAAAATCTCTATGCAGCTTCCTTTATCCTTTAAGGTGGGTCAATGTGTATTAAGACCTTAATAAATTTTCTTCATGGCATTGGACTTCTGTGACAGATTGAGCTTCTTTGTCTTTCTTTGTGTCCTATAAAGGCCCTTAATAAAACAAGGCTGAAAAATAGGAATAGAGGAATGGAAAAGAAAAGAGAAAGGAGGAATACAGAATATTTCATTGAATTAAAAAAAATCTCCAGGAATTCAGAATACATGAATTTAGTCTGACATTAAAGCAGATGTACAACTCACGCAGAACATACAGTGAGGGAACAAAATGGTGAGAGCACAAGCTAAAGAAAAACTATAAAATTTGCATTTTCATTAATTCAGCCTTAAATGTAGCTTAGAACCACTGAGTCATTGAAGGTCATTGTCAGACAGCAAATAATCTCACTTTATTTATGATTAGCACACACTTATTAAATTGTCTTTTTAGATAAAATTCAGTCATTACAAAAAACTACAGTGTTCATATTAAAAGTAAAATATTATGTCATAATAAAAACATGCTTTATGTCTTTAAAAATGTCAAAGATTTAAAGTATGTTACTGTAAATATATTAGGGGCCCACATTTCATTTTCAAAATAACAGCTATTTACATTGTATAAAAATTTGCATTGCAATTCAATTTCTATTTTGCTCAGAACTTTAAAATATTTAAGAGTATTCAGGGAACCTCTATTTTTAAAATAGCAGTGGGTTATATGTACTGTATGAAAACCTGTGCTGCACTGTCATTTACATGTAATACTTTCACAGAGATTGAGAATTCACCCCACGAAGATGGTTCTGAAGTAAATGAGTTGCATCTTTCAGCCACAGATCAGCCAAGCCTAGACAAAGAGGGCCAGAACATGGAGGATATTACATCAGAGTCATCTTTTGCAGATTCTTCTATGGTTTCAGGTACTTGAAACATTGAGATACTTTATATCCACTAATTAATACTTATAGAAAAATCAGTTGGTGCACTAATGGTATGATGACCGACTAAACATAGGGAAAATTTGGGCTCTGGGATTTGTGAGCACTTTTATTATTAAAGTATTTTTTACAGGAAATTAAATTAAAATGATTCCTCTTTCACAAAAATATTTTAAATGAACATAGTATTAAACTGTTGTAAGTATGAACATACTTGTTTCTGATTTTACTTTGTATGAAGTCCACAGCCATTTTGATGTGATAACTACGGCATCATAAGCATGTGCTGTTTCTTGGTTTCTAAATGCTTTCAACATAACATATTTGGATAGAAAGTTGGGAGGTGGCATTCAGTTAATTTGTTTTCAGTTAATTATAGTTTCAAAGTAACAATAACAGCTATTTACATTGTATAAAAATTTGCATTATTATTCAATTTATATTGTGCTCCAAATTCTAAAATATCTAAGGGTATTCAGGTAACCTCTATTTGGAACCCCATTTTTTTTTGTTTTTGTTTTTCAAAATAATGATGGATTGTATGTACTGTGTGAAAACCTGTGCTGCACTATTTTTATTCTATTCTTTAATTCACAGAAATTGGGAAGTCATGCCATGAAGATGGTTCTGAAGTCAATGAGTCACTTCTTTCAGCCACAGATCAGCCAAGCCTATGGAAAGAAGGCCAGGACATGGAGAATAATACATCAGAATCATCTTTTGCAGATTCTTCTATGGTTTCAGGTACTGAACATGTAGAGAATTTATATCCATTAATTATTACTTCCAGAAAAATTAATTGGTACACCAATGACATCATGACCTATTAAAGACAGGAAAATAGGGGCTCATTCTAACACTTTTAATCACAAAGATGAAGAACCACAAAGAATCACTGCACAGGTAGAATAGGAATGAGCAGCATCAAGGTCATAGATAATAGTGAGGTAGTAAAACAATTGGGAGGTGATGAGTTTTAAATATTTACTACCTCTCTAAATAGAATTTATCTAATTGAAAATGTACATAATTTATTTTTTAATAGCTGTGCTTAGTAACTGACTCACAAAATTCCTGAAAACTTAACAGTTGGCTCTTGTGAGTTAGTATAAACTGACTCCAGTACACCACTGTAAATTTCATTATTTGTACCCACAAAAATAATACAGATGCAGTGTAGAAAATTTGGAATACATAGAAACACACAGAGAAGTCTTCCATATTCTCACATGATATAAGTATTATATATAACATTTGGGTATGTGTTCTTCCAGTCCTTTTACATTCCTGGATGTGTATACATAAAATGGCATTTCTCCTGTGTTCATGAGATATTCTTCTAAATCATGGTTTTTAATGATTGAATAATAGTCCCACCATTTGGAGGAAACATAATTAATTAACCAATTATTGAATATTTAGCTTAATAAGTTACTCTGTCATGAATAATGACATGCTGGCCCTCTTACTTATGCCACAGTTTACTTAAAAACATATAATTAGAATTTCTGGGTCAAATAATTTATACAATTTTAACACATTTGATACTTAATGTCAAATTCACTGTGGGAACTCATGCCAATTTACTTGTTTTCCCACATTGTAGGAGAGTGTCATTATTTTCCTGATTCTCTTCTATGGGAGTAGGTGATAAGATTTTTAATCTTTACCAATTTGGTTGCTATTAAATATGATTTTTTGTTATTTTAATTTTCTGATTTCTACTGAAAAACATTTTTGCAAGTTTATTCTTTGTTTATTACACATTCATTTTTCTGTTAGGGTATTTATATTCTAAATTTGTTTTAGTGAGCTTTTTCGCCACTGTGACTAAAAGACCTGACCAGAATAATTGTAAAAGAGGAAAAGTCCATAGAAGGCTGGTTCCATTCCTTGGGGCTCCAGGTGAGGCAGGTCGTCAAGGCAGAAGAGCCTGGCAGAGGGAAGCAGCTCACATGGTGATCAGAAGTGTAGAGAGTGTCTCCACTCTGCAGATACAAAGTATATACCCCATAGTCACACCCCCAATTAATTAACCACTCCCTCCAGCCACACCCCACCTGCCTCCAGTTACCACTCAGTTATTCCCATTAGGGATTATTTCACCGATTAGGTTAAGACTCTCCAACTCAAGCATTTCTCCTCTTAACCTTCTTATATTGTCTCACACGTGAGCTTTTGGGAGACACCTCACATCCAAACCATAACAAAATTTATATTCTTGCTGGTTTATCTGAACTACTGAAGTGTATAGGGTAATGATATTTGTCAAAAATGATGGCAATTTTTTTATGGTTTACTTGCTTTTTAGTCTGTTTATGTTTTTTTTAATGCAATGCTTCTGAGATTCTAATGATCAAATGAACCACCTGGAGGACAGTCTAATGGGAATGCAGATATGATTCAGTCAGTATGCAGTGGTTTCTGAGATTTCACCTTTCTCATAAGCTCTCAGGTGATGCTGCTGCTTCTGGTCCTGGTCCATACTCTAAGCAGGAAGGTTTTCATGTGTAATACGGCAAATCTCTTAAATTTGAATTCTAGAGTGGTTTTTGTTTTTCCATTTAAGCAAGCACCTGTGCTTTCTTTTAGAGATCATGATTCTATTTGAAATGCCAAAATCCACTATCTGAAAGTAGAGCTTTATTTTTTAATAAACATTCTTGATAAGCTACCTGATATCTCTGTGGGTTACTGGCAGCTTTCTAAGTCCACACTAGAAAGAATGGAAGACTGAACTGAGGCTGGGCAAAGATCCTGCATTTCAGATTAGCAGTTTCATAAAAAGTTGCCAGGTGCATCTTATCAGTTTGCACTTTATGTAGTCTGAGTTTCAAGTGGTCCAAAAAGAAAAAAGAAAAAGGCCAAGAATTTAAATTCCTCTTTTTCTTCTTCTCCTTCTTCTTCTTCACGTTTTAAGTGTACCTTGTGAGAAAATCTGGATCTTCATAATGGTTTTAGGGAATAGAAAGGTTTGGGGCTTTTAATTTCTTTTTCCTCTCGAGATCTTCTTTCCCTTCCTTTTTCTTTAACCTCCCTGTTCTATTTCTTTCACTTCTTTTACTTAGAAAATATTAATTAAACACCTCTCGTGTGCCAGGCTCCTTCTTCAGTACTGTACAGACAGTGGGGAATATAAGAGAAATGGCTTCAGCCCCCAAGGATCTTCCCACTCTGGGGGTGTCAGCCCAAAGTAGTCACCTTATAGCTACAATGACAGTATATCCTATGAAAGAAAAATACAGAACATTAAAGTATCTAAGTGTAAGGGCATATACAAGTACAGTCAGCTGGACAGGGGCTGAGGACCCAATCCAATTCACAACAGTCTTCTGGTCTGTAGGGTCTTTTGACATGCAGACATCTATGTGCATTGGTGAGCAGGTTAGTCCAACCCATTCTGTCCCTTGCCAGAATAATAACAAAGGGTAATTACAAAATATGGTGCCTTGGCCCTGGGCCTTTGCTTTAGACACTGTTGCTGATACATATCATGGATCTTTCCAAGTATATGTTCATTTTCTTGATCTTAAAAACTAAGAATTCCTGGCATAAGTAACTTGTAAAATACTATTAGCACAGAGAAGAATTCTTTCGGTTGAACTTTTGCTACAAAATTTAATATAGAATGATTTTTCTTACATAAGCATTCTTAGAATTAACAATCAGAATAAATGTGAAAGTGTTCCACAGTTTCTTATGTGCATTTGTATAATTTTTGTATGTATCTTCTTGATGTTGATAATGTATAATCTTTATTTTGAATTTCAATATAATCAGTTAATATTTCAAATAGTTACCAAAGTAGCATTGAAAGAAACTTGTTACTTAAGTTGCATACATTCTGCAGTTATGAATATTTTTATGTGCAGAAAGAAAAAAATGTGAGAAATTATTTCTGATTTTAAAGTAAAACTTTTCTAATTATTATTTCTGAACCAGTTTGTATGCCATTTTTTTTTTCAGTGCATAAAATCTTGGTGCACCCAAGTATTTTTTTAATTATTTATAGTTTTAATGCAAAGATTATTCATATGTTGTTTTCTGCCCCTTTTACTCCTTAACATACCTAACCAGAACCATTAGTAACAGTGACTTACTATGAAACCAATTTTAATCATGCCACCTTCATGTAAAGGGTAATCTATTAAAATTCTCCAGGGGAATGATTAAGGAGAGAGATTTTTATCCTGTCTTCATTAAGTAGGGACTGGCATTTCTTCCTCCTTCCTCCTTATTCACTATTGACAATCAACTGCTTCCCAATAAGAAAGGTAGATAGTAATTAAAATGCACCAAAAAGTTTTTAATTCACCATTTTTCAAATTAATACAATAATTCCTCAACAACATTTGAACATTCCTTACACATTAATACTATTTTAATGCTGAAAGTGATCATTCTGCTTTCTAAAGCCATTTTATAACAAAATTATATAAAATGTTCATGTCTCTTCAGGCCATACTTCCCTGAAAAACATATCACTGTATGTTTTCCATATTTCTATATTCTAGTTTTCAGCAAAAATGTCATATAATTATTTTTAATTCACCACTATTGTTGCTTTGTTACGAGTAGTTATTTTACCTGGACACTTTTGTTATATCATTTTTGAAATTAATGCTTTTGTATAAAATAAAACTAAAGTAAGTAATATTTAAAACTAAGTAAAATTTATGTTACATAGAATTGAAGTAAAAAATCCCGGAAATTTCTTTTATTATTCTGTTGCATCTCCTGTTGTGAATCAGAAATGCAAATACCTCATGATGACCAGAAGAGGGCGCGTTGACACTTATAAAGAGGGATTTTACTGTTCCAAAGTGGAAGATTACAACTGCAGTGTGCTGTGTGTGAATACACAGTGCGCATGACTGGGATTGCATGTGTATATTTTGATTTATATATTCTTTCACGTGAAGATTTTAAAATTCCACCCCAGCTAATGAGCTTACCAACCTGCTTGTTTTCAGACTTTAATACCTTCTTTTTCATATTCCCCCATATGTTCAACTCCTTAGGTTTATCCGGTGACATTATGCTTTGGAATATATTGTGGATATATTTTGCATAGATCATGTTCTGTAGGAGGGGTTTAAAAATTGACCTTTATAAAGCAGCCTCCTTCTCCCTGGCCCAATCTGTCACAGCACTTTTTGTTGTTGTTGTTGTTTTGTTTTGCCTTTTTATAGACTGAAGTCCAATCTTAGATTTGTTCTATACTAATTTCTGTAAAAGTGCCACAAATTTTATCTTTGCAGTAGAGGACCAGAATAACATTCTATAGCACTAACCTGTAGAAATCTAGAGAATTTTTAGTATCCTTAGAAATAAATATCGTAGCATTTGAGACCAAAGTGGAAAAGATAATTGCTATAGTCGTATACAATAATATTGTCTCAGAATTATACATACTGTTTCAGGATTGGTTCAAATTAAGATAGCTCTGCTTACTTGCTAAATTTTCTTATCATTAACTATTGAGAAAGCAGTACTAGTGAAGCAATTCAAATGCACGTAATATTTTGAGCTAAAAGAAAGGGAGATATTACTGCTGCTGGTATTGATGTTTGTTAATAGATTACATAGGCTTGTATTTTATTTGAAAACTATCTTGAGCTACACAGGTCAGTTACATGACTTATAATTTCATAACAGTTCTGAAAAGTGTTAGTGTTCATATCTAGAGGATGAAGATATAGGTATTTTATCAGAAAGAAACCTCCCTCGTATACAGTTGATTC